TCTTGGCAGTCGATTATGTGATATTTTAGTCTGTTTAACAATTAGATTTTACAATAATCCTGGCTAGACTGTAAAACCCGATTCCAAACATAACCTAATATTGTCGATGCAGTACCTGCTTGGGTGTAATCGTCGTGAACATCTCTGTCATAGCCATATTGAAAGGTTCTCACCACCCCAATTTAGAGATAGAAGTCCAAGGGTACAAGTATCCGACCAGGAAGTACATAAATTTGGAGATCATCGACAGAGATGTAGGTACGTAGGTAAGCAACAGTAAACACAACACAGCTAATATCAGAATAGGACAATTACTATTGGGCACAAAATCATGGTAAACGTTTTGCTACATTTTTATTATTTGTCTTCATTTTTAAAGGTCTTCGCACAATCTAACCTGATAGTCTGCAGTACGATACTGCATTTTTTCTGGCTGGCTAATTGTCATTATCAAACCACAATACACAACAAAAAAAGATGAAGAACTTCAGGTCCTTGATGGAGAAGAAGACCTTCAAGTATTCTATGAAGAAGAAGAAGACCTGCAGTTCATCTTTGAAGAAAGAGACCTTAAGGTCCTCCATAAACAAGAAAGAAGAAAATCTTCAGATGTTCTCTATAGAAGACGACATTCAGCTCTTCTATGATGAAGAAGACCTTCAGCTCTTCTATGATGAAGAAGACCTTCAGCTCTTCTATGATGAAGAAGACCTTCAGCTCTTCTATGATGAAGAAGACCTTCAGCTCTTCTATGATGAAGAAGACCTTCAGCTCTTCTATGATGAAGAAGACCTTCAGCTCTTCTATGATGAAGAAGACCTTCAGCTCTTCTATGATGAAGAAGACCTTCAGCTCTTCTATAGAAGAATAAGACCTTCAGCTCTTCTATAGAAGAAGAAGACCTTCAGCTCTTCTATAGAAGAAGAAGACCTTCAGCTCTTCTATAGAAGAAGAAGACCTTCAGCTCTTCTATGGAAGAAGAAGACCTTCAGCTCTTCTATAAAGAAGAAGACCTTCAGTTCTTCTATGATGAAAAAGATCTTCAGCTCTTCTATGAAGAATACCTTAAGGTATTCTATGATGAAGAAGACCTTCAGCTCTTCTATGAAGAAGACGATCTTAAGCTCTTCTATTAAGAAGGACATCTTTTCTATGAAGAAGGCCTTCAGCTCTTCTATGGAAAAATACATTCATGATTTTTATAAAGAAGAAGACCTCCAGCTAGTTTTATGAAGGAGATCTTCAGCTCTTCCATGAAGAAGAATAATTTCAGATCTTCTATGAAGGAAAAAAACTCCGCTTTTCCATGAAGAAGACTTCCAGCTCTTCTATGAAGAAGACCTCCAGCTCTTCTATGAAGAAAACTTCCAGCTCTTCTATGAAGAAGACCTCCAGCTCTTTTATGAAGAAGACCTCCAGCTCTTCTATAAAGAACACCTCCTGATATGCTATTAAGAACAATGTCCTCTACGATGAACCCCTGCAGCTCTACCTCCAACTTCAGAAGAAAATATTCTGCCTCTGAATATTATATCTGCTGAACTCCCCACCGAGACAGGTCAAGGTAATTTTTTCAAGAAACAGAAAAAACTCCCGCTTTTTGCAAAGCTCAAATTGAAATCATTGAAGCATTATATTTATGTTAAGATAACAGAACAGAGATACAAAAAACTACCGAATCATTTCCGATAAGTTAATGCATATCATGGTAAACAAGAGGAGTGAAGAAAAAAAGTAAATGAAAAAACAACAACCAAGAAACATAACAAACGGACGCACAACCGAACCTCAAAGACGAATGATATTGACCAGAACCAAACAGAGGAAGAAAAGGAAACAGAAAAAAATAATACCCTGTACCACAGTGTGGTGAAGGGTATAAACAGTTCATTGTTATACATTCCGCTGATGTGTATTTTTTTCTGTCTGCTGGACTTGAATATTTTTACAATATTGTTGCGTGCCACACTTTTAAAGATGTTGAAAACAAGCAACGTTCCGATAAATAAACCAAAATCGGACCTTAGAAGTAAATTTCCTTTTTTGAGTTAAATGCTCTGGTTTTTATATTACAAAAACAGACTTAAGAAAACAGTTGGCATATTCCTTTGTCCCAGATGTTTTTCATAGTTTTGTTGGGAGAGAAGGGAGGTCCAACTAACCTCTCCCCCCATATAGTTTTGGACATGAAAACGCATAATTTACCACATTAAACATAATCAACGTTCCATTGAACGAACAGCAGAAGAAAATCATTTAGCGAAACCGAAACCAAACGACAATAAATACACACACACACATAGAGGTAGCGCTTATTATTACAGGCCACGAAATAACGACAACGAAATGTAACGAAGGAAATCACAGAGTGCAGAAGTAAGAAATTTTAAGTTAAGAAACAAAGTTGTAAAAATAAATAAAAAATACTATAGTGGACCATATTAAGAACCAAGTTGCTTTGTTGTTATCCCCCAGACCTTCGAAAATCCAAAAAGCCATGACGTCTTCTTCACCAAAGGAACTAAAAGTTTTCTCTGCTGCCACTGTTACTGCTGTTCATTTCCGAAAAGGGAAATGAATGAATGGGTGAACTAAATAATAGTAGGACCCTAAATGGTCATTTTAGTTTCTCTACAATGGCACTGAATTGAGTTGTCATCAAGTACTTTGCGTTTTTTTTCTGTACGAAGTCCATTAACAAATGAAAAAAACGCCAAAAGAAAAGTAGGAAATTAATTATGTGTGCGTGGAGTGCGGTCTAGTTCCCCAAATTATTATATAGATATCCTTCTATATATGTTCTGGAGGTGCTATTAAATGTCATGAGACGAGAGGAGGGAAAATGCGAGAAAACGTACCTTTCGAAGGTTACTCTATATTCTAAGTGGAATTTTCGAGGCACAATTTTTAATAAAGTATTCTTCTTCTTCATAGAAGAGCTGAAGGTCTTCATCTTCATAGAATAGCTGGAGGTCTTCATCTTCATAGAAGAGCTGAAGGTCTTCTTCTTCTTCATAGAAGAGCTGAAGGTCTTCTTCTTCTTCATAGAAGAGCTGAAGGTCTTTTTCTTCATAGAAGAGCTGAAGGTCTTCTTCATCTTCATAGAAGAGCTGAAGGTCTTCTTCTTCATAGAAGAGCTGAGAGTATTCTTCTTCATAGAAGAGCTGAAGGTCATCTTCTGAAGACCTTCTTTTTCATAGAAGAGCTGAAGGTCTTCTTCATAGAAGAGCTAAAGGTCTTCTTCTTCATAGAAGAGCTGAATGACTCCTTCTTTATAAGAGAGTGGAAGATTTTCTCATGTTTCATAGAAGAGCTAAATGTCTTCTTCTTTATAAAATAACTGAAGATCTTTTTATTCATAGGTTTTTCTTCGATTCATCCTGGCCTATAAAGACAGATGGTCTATAAAGACGTCCTGGCCTTCAGATGGTTTATAAAAACCCCCTGGCCATCAAATCTACTATGAAGGCTCCCTGAGCTTCAACTCGACTACAATGACTCTCTGGCCCTTCAGTTCGTCTATAAAGACTCCCCCCAGCTCGTCTCTAAAGACTCCCTTCAGCAAGTCTATAAAGACTCCCTTTAGCAAGTCTATAAAGGCTCCTTTCAGCTCGTCTATAAAGACTCCTTTCAGCTTGTTTATAAAGACTCATTTCAGCTCGACTGTAAAGACTCCCTTCAGCTAATCTTGAAAGATTGCCTCCGTCTACAAATACTCCCTTCAGCTAGTCTAAAAAGACTCCCTTCAGCTAGTCTAAAAAGACTCCCTTCAGCTCGTCTATAGAGACTCCCTTCAGCTCGTCTATAGAGACCCCCTTCAGCTCGTCTATAGAGACTCCCTTCATCGAGGCCCTCCAGCTCATCTATAAAGACATCTTCTGTGTTTATAAAGTCTGCCTTCCGATTCTCTATATATACTCTCTCCAGCTCGTCTATAAAGACTCCCTTCAGCTTGAAAGTTTCTCTGGGGTTCAGAAGGCCTACTCGACTTCTATAAGAAGTCCTACTGGTCTTCTTCTTCTCTCATCTCCATTCCATTTTTCCAAATTTCCTTAATTCACATTGATTGAAAAATTATGCAATAAATAAATTAAAGTCAGTACAAAAAAGTGAAATTACCACAATTTGAACGTAATCTTAAATCGATCTATGCTTCTTTTCAATTATCCCAGCCAACTTGAGAGAGTGAATGTAGTCATTTATATGAAAAACACACACAAACACACATTCGAAACTCTATTAGACATTATTAAACGTTTAATCTGCGCAAGATTAAAATCAGTATTCATGCGTATTTAGGCCGTCGTCATCATCATCTATACAACCGAACAACCAGCCAGGTTTTATACATGGATGAATGAGGATGAGAATGGAAAAAGTCAGGTTTCCATGACTTAAAGGCAAAGAAGAAAAAAAACAACACCTAATGTGAAAGAGGCAAGTGTGCATGTGAGACCGAACAACGCCACCGTTTAACCACTTTAGCCATATTTGACTTAGCACTCGTTTTGCATGTGGTGTTTTTTAAGGCTCAGATCTCAGATGTTGCGGATGAGTGGTGTTCGTGGTGAAAATGTACAGACAACGGCGGCTTGTTATTTTTTGTGTACATATGAAGAAGATGAAGAGGATCATTGTTAAGACGGAAGTGATTGACGGGTAAATGATTTTTTTGGTTTTTCGGTGATGATCAGGATGATGGAAATATATATTGGTTTGGAGGAGCCTCAATGAAGTTAGTCTTTGGGGCATGGGATAGATTTTTTTATAGGGAGAAGATGTAGAAGTGTTACGAAAGCAAGTTCGAAATTTCGGGTGAACACAAATTCGAAATATTATTGAGGAAGCTTCTCATTATCTACAAAATAACTTTACAGACTTCAGCATATTGACTTCGCCAAGGTTCCGGGTTTTTTATAACTGTTATTTTTTAGATCCATCCCAATACACCTAATCCACTTCGATCGAGTCTTAAAAAATAGAAGTATTTCTTTACTTACCTTTGGCTGCCGCTTTCTTTTCTCTCCGGCAGATTCTTTATTGCCGCTACCACTGCTACTGGCCGATGCAGAATCCTGTTGTCCTTCAATCTTTTGGCGATCTGGAAAAATGAGGAAAATATATGAAGTCTCTATAAATGAGCTGAAGAGCCGAACGCCTTCATGGAGTTCCTGAATCTCAGGAATCCTTGTAGACGAGCGACCCTGAAGACAAGGGAGTTTTTATAAACGAGCTAAAGTCCAGGGAGTATGAGCTGAAGATCTGAAGATCACATTGCCTTTATATACGAGCATAACCTCAGGACTCCTTATAGCTCTTCTCTTCTATGGAAAAGAAGACCTCCCAGACTCTTCTTCAGTTTCTTATTATTCATAATTGCTATCATAGTTACTTACATTTCGCTTCTATTTCCTCATCATCCAAGAGTAACGAAACAACCTCCTTTGGTTTCAGGGTGTCGGGTTTAAAGTTGCCGCCACTAATAACCATGCGTTGGATCTAGAAAGAAAAAGCAACAACAAAAATCAAAAAAAAATTATATAAATTTAATAATATATCCAATATTTACAATAACAAAGATAAATAGCTTCCGAAAACATATTATGTAAATTATGTTGGGCGCCACTTTTGAGCCGCATTAAAATAAACACCCTCAAAAAATATGAAAAATAATATCCAAAACCACAAAATTTCTTAGGATTTATAATCATCACCATTCGAAAAAGGAAGTAACCACAAAAAAATTATGGATATCCAAATAAAAAAATTAAAAAAAAATACCGATCAAAACCCGAATCGTAAGCAGCGGATGATCATTATCATTAAAACCACATTCCAAGAGGTTATTTAATATTTTTTCGTGTATAAATTAATAAAAGAAACCCTCCTTAAAAGAAACCTTAGAGATAACACCGAAATGTTAACTGCGACAAAAAATATTTCAGGAGCGTTAAAGCGGCGCGTTGCTGCACCACTCAAGTCCTAATCAATATTTAACCCCTTTCATAATGAAATTAAATCGTGGCAACAACAACAACACGAAGACAAAAATTATGTATGAATAACCCTTGCAAATGATCCTCACGTGCAAATGAGAGAAGAGGAAACAGCAAGAGAGGAGTGGAGAGGAAGATAAAAATTGTCTAATATGTAAAGTGAGGACAGTGGGACAGGATAGGGAAAAGAGGAGCTGAAAGAAGTATTTATAGGAGTCTCAATAGACAAGCTGAAGGGAGTCTTTATTGACAAGCTGAAGGGAGTCTCTATAGAAGAGCTGAGGGTAGTCTTTACAAACGAGCTAAGGGGAGTCTTTATAGACGAGCTGAAAGTAGTCTTTATAGATGAGCTGATGGGAGTCTTTATAGACGAGCTAAAGGGGAGTCTTTATAGACGAGCTGAAGGGGAGTCTTTATAGACGAGCTGAAGGGAGTCTCTATAGACAAGCTGAAGGGAGTCTTTATAGACAAGCTGAAGGGAGTCTTTATAGACGAGCTGAAGGGAGTCTTTATAGACGAGCTGAAGGGAGTCTTTATAGACGAGCTGAAGGGAGTCTTTATAGACGAGCTGAAGGGAGTCTTTATAGACGAGCTGAATGGAGTCTTTATAGACGAGCTGAATGGAGTCTTTATAGACGAGCTGAGGGTAGTCTTTACAAACGAGCTAAGGGGAGTCTTTATAGACGAGCTGAAAGGAGTCTTTATAGACGAGCTGAAGGGAGTCTTTATAGACGAGCTGAAGGGAGTCTTTATAGACGAGCTGAAGGGAGTCTTTATAGACGAGCTGAAGGGAGTCTTTATAGACGAGCTGAAGGGAGTCTTTATAGACGAGCTGAAGGGAGTCTTTATAGACGAGCTGAAGGGAGTCTTTATAGATGAGCTGAAGGGAGTCTTTATAGACGAGCTGAAGGGAGTCTTTATAGACGAGCTGAATGGAGTCTTTATAGACGAGCTGAATGGAGTCTTTATAGACGAGCTGAATGGAGTCTTTATAGACGAGCTGAAGGGAGTCTTTATAGACGAGCTGAAGGGAGTCTTTATAGACGAGCTGAAGGGAGTCTTTATAGACGAGCTGAAGGGAGTCTTTATAGACGAGCTGAAGGGAGTCTTTATAGACGAGCTGAAGGGAGTCTTTATAGACGAGCTGAAGGGAGTCTTTATAGACGAGCTGAAGGGAGTCTTTATAGACGAGCTGAAGGGAGTCTTTATAGACGAGCTGAAGGGAGTCTTTATAGACGAGCTGAAGGGAGTCTTTATAGACGAGCTGAAGGGAGTCTTTATAGACGAGCTGAAGGGAGTCTTTATAGACGAGCTGAAGGGAGTCTTTATAGACGAGCTGAAGGGAGTCTTTATAGACGAGCTGAAGGGAGTCTTTATAGACGAGCTGAAGGGAGTCTTTATAGACGAGCTGAAGCAGGGAGTCTTTATAGACGAGCTGAAGGGAGTCTTTACAGACGAGCTGACAGACGAGCTGAAGGGAGTCTTTATAGACGAGCTGAAGGGAGTCTTTATAGACGAGCTGAAGGGAGTCTTTATAGACGAGCTGAAGGGAGTCTTTATAGACGATCTGAAGGGAGTCTTTATAGACGATCTGAAGGGAGTCTTTATAGACGATCTGAAGGGAGTCTTTATAGACGAGCTGAAGGGAGTCTTTATAGACGAGCTGAAGGGAGTCTTTATAGACGAGCTGAAGGGAGTCTTTATAGACGATCTGAAGGGAGTCTTTATAGACGATCTGAAGGGAGTCTTTATAGACGATCTGAAGGGAGTCTTTATAGACGATCTGAAGGGAGTCTTTATAGACGGTCTGAAGGGAGTCTTTATAGACGAGCTGAAGGGAGTCTTTATAGACGAGCTGAAGCAGGGAGTCTCTACAGACGAGCTGAAGCAGGGAGTCTCTACAGACGAGCTGAAGCAGGGAGTTTCTATAGACGAACTTAAGCAGGGAGTCTCTATAGACGAGCAGACGGGCTAGTTTTTATAAACGAGCTGTGGGGAATTTTTTAGGCGAGATGAAGGGAGACTTTATAGACGAGCTCAGTGATTCTTTATGACCAGCTGAAGTTTAGGAAATCTTTATAGAAGATCAGAATCCCTGGGAGTCTTCGTAGACGAACTCATGCAGGGATTCTATATAGACAAGCCTTTATAGATGAGCTAAAGACCAGGGAGTCTTTTTAGGTGAGCTGAAGGGCCTGGAAATCAGTGTAGATGAGTTGAAGCCTACAGTGTTTTAATATAAGATTTTGAGTTCCGAGCTACTTTATTGACGAGCTGTAAGTTGTAGAGCATTTATATGCGATGAAACTGAAGAGGGGTACTTACAGACGATTTAAAGGTTGTATTTATAGGCGACCTAAATTGAGCCATAATATAGGTCCTGAAAGGAGTCTTTATAGACGACCGTAAAGTTGACTTAGAATGCGACCTACATGTAGTATTCAAAGAGATCCTGGAGGTAGTTCCGCCTGTATATGGATTTTACAGATGATTTAAATTGTTTAACCTAGTCCCACTGTACCCAACTCCGCAATAGGTTTCGATATCAAAACTATAACAAAATAAATTTAATACTAAAAACAACAACAACTACAAGCCGGGGCGTAACAGATATGTCGCCTACCACAGAAGCGATCGACAAACACACAAAAAACAAAGAAGACAAACAACAACAACAATTGTAAACATAACTAAGTGGAGGATAACAAACAACAACAACAACAAAAAATAAGGCTGTATAATTAGTTTCCGGTAAAAAGATACTGGCACACAGGGATGGGACCACGAAGAAAAAGATAAACACAACAACACTTGTGAAAAGTGAATTGAAACAAGAAGAACAACAACAAGAACAACGGAGACGTAGATCAGTGATCATATTCCTTATTAAATATTCTAAAAAACACCCCCTCCCTTCCTTCCTCCTATCACTCCTCAATCTACTACAAAACAAAAATTAATGAATGAATGAAAATAATGAATGAACGCAATGTCGCTTTTTTTATAATCCCTTACTATCAAATGGCTCCGCACTAGCCATCACAAAATAACAAGTTCCCTAAGGAGAATTAACAGCAGCTTGGGAGGTATTATCCCGCCTCAGCGCGAAGAAGTGGCAAAAACCCACAAAGCTTAGCCTACCACATAATTATTATGTTACACTTTAAAGTTGCGTTTGTAGTTGTTGTTGTCATTACACTTATTGTTGTAAGTTCTTGATAAAGAAAAACAACAACTGCAGCAGCAGCAAAAACAATGAATGAAAAAAACGCCAAACTTTGTAGTTCTGCTCTTTTGAGGTTATTTCAATTGTTTCCTGAATAAAAACACGTGCCTAACTAATATGCGGGTTTTGTGATACAACCAACAACAACCTCGTCGTCGTCGGATACGATTGGATTTCGCTAAATGACAGTAGAAAAAACAACATGGGATATTGTCTCATTGTTTTAATTTCTGTGGTTTACTCTTCCATTCATGTTGATCGGATTCGGATGCGTAGTACCGTGTTCTTTTTTTTCTAAGTTTGACGAACTGTCTCTTGCGTAGTCATTCATAATGACAATCTGTGTTTTTTTTACTACATCGTAAAAACCGCATTTATATCCATAAAATAAAAGAAGCAGAATGAACGTTGGAAAAATGGACTGAAAGGTCAGGGATTACATATATATGCAAGCTGAAGGAAGTCTTATAGGCCCAAAGGCGAGGACTTTATAAACGACAAGGTAGCATTATAAACTAGAAGGACCCATGTGACAGTTAAGTAGATGATTCATCTGTTATAGCCATTCTTTGGCGTTGAGGCTAGATCTATCGTTGCAAAGAAATAATTTGATTGCTGTGGTTGATGTCCTTGCTTATTAAGTGTAGCCATTTTACTCTGGGTGGCGCAATCTCCTGTGATTTTGTGTTATCCTCATGTGTTTATTTTAAGCCCAGGTAGGTTATTAGAACTTCAGGGACCTCGGATATCTTTCAAATATTGGAAAACGAGTTGAAGGATCAGATATACATTTATGATCGATGTAGCACTCTGAGCCGAAGAACTTAAAAAGGAAATGTTATTTGTATAGAAGACATTCATGGCGTAATTATATATAGACGAACTGAACCAGGTGCTCTCTATAAACCAGACTACATGAAGGAATAAATGGACTGAAATGTCAGGGTTTATTTATAGACTAGCGGAAGGAAATCTTTATAGGCCTAAAGGCGAGGACTTTATAATCGAAATAACGACAAGGTAGCATTATAAACTAGAGGAAGAACCAGATATTATTTGTGTTTCGTTCCTGATAAACCTCTTGCAAGTAAAAGGCTTCCACTCATTGTGTTAGTTTCGTTATCATTGTTTTTCATCTGTTATAGCCTGCCCTACGTGATGAGGCTGCCATCTATCGTTGCCTGGAAATAACAATTCCTAGGATTTTTTTGTTTTGGTTGATGTCCTTGCATATTAAGTGTAGCAATTTTCCACTGGGTGGCGCTATCTTCTGCCATTCCTATTTTGTGTTATCCTCATGTGCATATGTTAAGACCCAAAGACGAGAAACTAAAGGGCGAAGACAGTATAGACGAGACAATGACAAGGTAGCAGTATAAACTAGAGGAAGGACCAGATATTATTTGTGTTTCTTTCCTGATAATCCTCTTGCGATAATGATTATCCCCATTGCGTTAGTTTGGTTATCATTTTGTTATTGCAGCTATGTGAATGATTCATCTTTTATAGCCTGCCCTATGTGATAAGGCTGCCATCTATTGTTGCCTAGAAACAACGATACCTTGCATTTTTGCTGTGGTTGATATCCTTGCTTATTAAGTGTAACCATTTTCCTCTGAGTGGCGCTATCTCCTGGCATTCCAATTTTGTGTTATCCTCCTGTTTTTATGTTAATACCGAGGTAGGTTAATAAAAAATCAGTGGAGCTCTGATACCTTTCATCTGCATCTGGATTTAAACCAACTTTCTCCGTAAAGAGTGGACCTCTGATACCTTTCATCTGCATCTGGATTTAAACCTACTTTTTTCGGAAGCAATCACTTCGTAGTGATTGGAATGGTTGGAACCTTGTTTATTTAGTGTTGCCATTTTCCTCAGAGTGGCGCTACCTCCGAATGTTCTATGTTTGTATTATCCTCATTTGATGATGTTGGCTATTAGAATGTCAGGGGCAAGGGTCAGGGTATGTAAGCCTATTTGTACAAATATTTGAAAACAAGTTTAAGAACAAGAATCCGCTGGGTGTTCAGGATTTTGTAGTCTGAAAGCCTATTCACTGAACTTCGTCATCCGAAGAGACTAAATGTCATAGACTATTTATGGGCGAGATAAACAGCCAGAGAGTCTTTATGATCGATGTGAGGTTCAGACACTCTGCGCTGGAGAACTTTAAAAGGAATGGTGTTTTTTTTTTATAAAAGGCATTCATTATAGACGAACTGGAGGGAATCTCCATATATAAAGTGTATCGCGTGATTTTCTATAGACGAACTGAACCAGGTATTCTGTATAAACCAGAATACATAACGGAAGGAAGGATCAATACAGAATACCTGAATGATCAGTGAGTCTTTACATATGATGGAAGACGGAGAATCTTTTTAGATCAGTGGTTAGGGGATCATCATATGTTGAAGAGGAGGGGAGTAGGTATAAAGACGCACTGAAGAAATAGTGGGTATATTTAGAAATAAGCATATTAGGCGATCTGAAGGCCATGGAGGCACTAAAGACGAATTGAGCCAATGGACAATGCTCAGTCAGTTGGCGAGGCAGAGGCATGAAATAGACGAGCTGAAGCCTAGTGAGTCTTAGCAAACGAGCTAATGATAATGGGTCTCTATTATCTAAAGACCAGAATTGGCGATCTGAGGGTCATGGAATCATTGTAGGGTTAATTAGCTCGATAATTAATGATCTGTTTGACGAAATGTTAAGGATTTCCTGACTTCCAGAGGAAATTCTTATAGATAATCTAATAACCATAACAAATGCGCTTTATGCTGGAATGGAATATTTAGGAACAAGTTAAAAAGAACAGGAACGGGGTATTTTTATAAATAGTATAGGCTTTATTCGGTTTTCTAAAGAAATTACGACGTAAAGAGGTTTCATATTTAGATTTGTTTTGAATTTACATAGCTCCTTTGTAAAGATTCAATGATAGAAGGAGAAGACTAAAAACCCCTATGGAAATTACGGAATAGAATTTATAAACAACTAATAACAATTATATATTCGCAAATTCGAAGAGAATCGAAATATAAAGCTGCGTTCCAACAATGACGTATCATTTGCGGAATTTTATATATATATATATATATTACTTACCTCACTCTTCTCTCGTGCTCTTTGCAAAATGCGCTCTTCAATTGTTCCCTTGCAGATCAAACGATATACTGTAACTTGTTTCGTTTGACCCAAACGATGTGCACGGTCCATAGCCTGCTGATCAACGGTGGGATTCCAATCGGAATCATAGAAAATGACCTAAAAAACATAAAAAAGAGAAATTTAAAATTTAATAAGAAATAAATAATTGTTGGGTGCTGAAAAATATGATAAAATATATCCGAATATGCCTACACGAGTTTAGTATTAAGAATGCTGAAGTCCCGGTAAGGCAAACATATATGCTTGCATAAATAAGAAATACGCCAATATAAAATATAAGATATTGAACATCAGCGACGAACCAGATTACTTCAAATCTTGGCATATGACTACGATCAGAAAGGAAAGAAAAAGGAAGAGCCAAGACCGAAATGTGGAGTTTTTGTACACTGTTTTCGTCAATTGCAGTAAAGTGGTACATCATGAATTTTTTCCACAAGGTCGTACGGATAATATATGGAATATTACCATGAAGTTATGCGTCGTACATTTGTCCAATAGATTTAATGTATACATTAACCTATAGGTTCGGTTAAATATTACGAGTTGCCAACAATGGATCAAATAATCCATCCGATTCACATGAAGTTTAAAAGTTTTTAAAATATTGACTCTTTGTGGGGGAGTTACCAGAAGAAGTGGGTCCCATATTCCGATCTGATCTAGGCTTGGCAAAAGTATTACGATTTGCATATTATGGATTAAATCGGACAATCCATAACGCCTATACAAATGTTCAACATTGTTTACCGATGGGTCTCATCTTCGGACTTTGGTACAAATATTACGATCTGCACAGTTTTGATGAAATTTAAGGTTCCTTTCAATTCATATGAGATTTACAAATTTTCAAAATTTGAAAATTTTGTGGGGGTGTTACTAGAAGTTTTGCACGGCAATTCACATCTTGACGTTTCCGGTGCTTAGATATAAAAAACGATTTTGCAGACATATTTTACAGATTTTAATCATAAACTCCCAAAAAAGTGGTTGTAATCGAAAAAAAGAACTTCCCAAAGAAGAGAACCAAAGTAGAAGCTCCTGGTATTCTTTTAATTTTTAGACCTGGAGGTTTCTATGGAATACTTTTTAAATAATAGTAATAAAATTATCACAGTAGTTTTATAATTTCCAATCTCACAATATCCTCTTCCGAGTACCAGTATAAACAAATTCCTTTAAAAATGTTTTCAATTCCCTTCAAATTCAAATCCTCAAAAAAGGATTAGATTTCTATTTCCGCTCCTAGTTTGAGATTTTTATGAAATAAAATATCAAATACCGGATATAAGGCCTCACATCTATGTTATTCGAAAAAAATCATATACTTTTTATAATAACAAACACTTTTTTGAAAGTGGAACACGTGTTCCAATCAAAAAAAAAATATTTGAAGCAAAAACTAATTTGATATTTTAAAAATAGAAAAAAAAGAAGAAGACCCATAAAAAAATCAAAAGATATTCAAATGAGGCACTAGATAGACAATTTGTATTTGGAAACCTCAATCAATGTCTTTCGACAACCAAAAAGAAATTGAGGCAAGCCTTACAAAGGCGATCCGGGAGAAAATAAATCGAAATGTTTTATTGTTCTTGTTTTTATTCACTGCAAAGGAATCTCTAATTTCATTTGCTGGCAACGATCACTCCCATACCCTTTCCTTTCTTTGAATATGCGGAAGTAGTATCTTGTCTATTACTGCGGGCCAAGAACAAGAACAACAACAAGATTTAGTGTTTTTTTTTTTGTGTGCCAAGAATTTGACGCACGTGATTTGTGGAACACTTGCGGCTTCTGAGCAATGAATTTTCCGCTCAAAGCACTTCTGTGTGTGCATAGATTTTTCAATTTTCCTTTTGTGTTTCTGTTGTTGTTTTATTCAAATCAATTTTCATATCATTTGAAGTATTTCGACATTATAAATTAGAACAACAAAATGCATTTTTCTTTATTTTGAAAGAAAACGAAATAGAAAGGGTAAAAATACGAGGCGTCAAAATTCTTTATTAGGAGCGCATCACTTGAATGGCTAATTATCGAATTAAGAGTGCAACGAGTGGAATAAAAGAGTCCTCCTTTCACATTGATGAGGGTAAACAATAAATAAAGGGTAGACGGCGAGAGGCGTCAACGATTTTCTTGTTTTAGGTTTTTATTTGTGCATAAATTAAGTACTTCCGCTTATATGTTATATGACTGTCGGATGATTAGGTTTTTGAAGCCGAATACTATTTTTAACACAATCCACTCCTTGGTCTCTCAATAGATATGTGGTGGGTATACTATTTGTAGAAGATATGCGAAAGGGATTGTAGCTATTTTTGAACATTTTTTTTAATTTTTTAGCTGTTCGGAAGCTCGACCAACTAACCTACAAATTCCACGACAATCGGCATTTTCAGAAAACAAAGCATTATCGATTCCGTTTTTAAGTGCACCGAAGTAGCATTTACCGGAAAGTAGGTAAGTGGCATATTGCCACTGCAATGATAACAGGCCTTTAATTACTTCGGCGTATGTTTGTTTCAAGCTTTTGGAGGTTTAGGTCAAATAACGGTATGGGGGCACTTGATAAGACAATAGACGTAGTTACCAGTGGGGACCATAGAAAGAAAGTTTGAATGCCAGTGACAAAAAACCCTGGGAATGAAATATCCGGAAAATAAAACACTAGAATTGAATCGGCAATTTTTATCACAGACCCCCATAGATCCCAAACAATAGGGCGCCCAGTACAATTGTTGAAAAAGATAAAGATTTAATAGTTACGTTAGTTTTCAAATTGAAACAAATACCAATCATATAAAAGTCTAGCAGAGGTAAGATTTACTTCAGTGGACTAGCTATTGGCGAACATAACTCAAATCCCACAAAAATGAGGAAGATTATATTTACGGGGCTACTATCCTTCTTCGTATTTCTTCAAGGAGTAACAAGTTCGAATTTATTCTCTAGGACCTTCAATGAGTTACATGACGATCCCGGCCCACAAACCTCAAGTCGTGTTTGGGTACCCACAAAATGGATAGAACAAAAATTGGATCATTTCGATGAAAATGAAACCAGGACATGGCAAATGGTAAGGAGGAGCTTTTATACCTTCTTCTAAATATAAAAAATAATATCGAATTTGTTTCTCCCAGCGCTACTTGGCCAATGATGAATTCTATGAAAAAGGTGGTCCCATGTTCATTTATGTGGGTGGTGAGTGGGCAATTTCTCCTGGGGCCATTACCAGTGGCCATCATTATGATATGGCTAAGGAACATAAAGGATATTTGTTTTATACGGAACATCGTTATTATGGTCAAAGTAAACCTGTGAGGTGCGTGTTTCAGATCAGATGTGAGATTTTTGAAATATTAAATTGTTGATGTTTTCCGTTTTGTAGCGACTTATCTCCCGATAACATGAAGTATTTGCATGTTCGCCAAGCCTTGGCTGATTTGGCCCACTTTATACGCATCATGAAAGTCACCATTCCCGGCATGTCAGAATCGAAAGTGTTTTTGAGTGGTGGTTCCTACTCGGCCACCATGGTAACATGGTTTAAGAAATTGTATCCTGATTTGGCTAATGGTTGTTGGGCTTCCAGTGCTCCCCTGCTGGCAAAGAGAGATTTTGTGGGTAAGTTTCACAAATGACAATTTTCTTCCACGACGAAGACCACCAACCCTTGACCTGGAGCTCCTCTATGGAAACAGATTGAGCTGTCCCATGGAAGAATATCTTCTTCTATGGCATAAAAACACATTCTGTTCTTCTATAGCAAAAGAAACCCTTCAGCTCTTCTATGGCTCTTTAAATCTTCTATGGCGAAGAAAAAGAAGACCTTTAGCTCTTCTTTGGAGAAGAAAAAGACATTCAGCTCTTCTATGAAGGATACATTCTGCTTTTCTATGAAAAATAATTTCAGATCTTCTCTGAAGGATACCTTCATCTCTTTTATGAAGGATACCTTTCTATCAAGAAGATCTCCAGGCTCTTCTATGAAGAAGAAAACCTCCAGGCTATTCTACGAAGAAGACGACCTCCAGGTTCTACTACTAAGAGTAAGACATCCAGGCTTTTCTATGAAGCAGAAGACATCCAGGCCTTTCTGTGAAGAAGAAGACCTCCATGCTCATCTATGAAGAAGACCTCATGCACTTCTATGAAGATACCTCCAGGCTCTTCTATTAAGAAGACCTCAAGGCTCTTCTAAGAAGAAGAGGACCTCTAGGTTATTCTACGAAGATGAAGGTCTCCATGTTCTTCTATGAATGATGCCTGCAGGCTCTACTATGAAGAAGAAAACCTCCAGGCTCTACTATGCACTTCTATGAAGAAACCTCCAGCCTCTTCTAAGAAGAAGAGGACATCCAGTCTCTTCTATGAAGATGAAGGTCTCCATGTTATTCTATGAAGAAGAAGGCCTCCAGGCTCTATTATAAAGAAGAAAACCACCAGGCTCTACTATGAAAAATACCTCCAGGCTCTACTATGAAGATCAAGGCCTCGATGTTCATCTATGAAGAAGAAGACCACCAGGCTCTTCTATGAAGAGGACCTCATGTACTTTTATAAAGAGACATCAGACTCTTCTATTAAGAAGTCCTCCAGGCTCTACTATGAAGGTTTTTCTAAGAAGAAGAAGAGGCTTTTCTATGAAGAAGAAGACATCCAGGGTCTTCTAAGAACAAGAACCCCAGTCTCGCCTATGAAGAAGAATACCTCCAGACTCTACTATGAAGATGAAGACCTCCAGGCTCTACTAAGGCTCTACTATGAAGAAGAAGACCTCCAGGCTCTTCTATGAAGAATATGACCTCCAGGCTCCAGACTATTTTATGAAGAAGACCTCCAGACTCTTCTATGGAGAGGAGGTCCTCAAGTCTCGTCTATGAATAAGAAGACCTCCCCTCTTACCTATAAAAAATAGACTTCCAGGCTCTTCTATGAAGATGAAGACCTCCATACCCTTCATTGAAGAAGACATTCTGATTTCTATTAAGCCCTTTTCTTCCCTATAGCTAATCTTTTATTGTTATATTTCTTTACAGAATACAAAGAGGTTACCGGTGAATCTATCCGCCTGATGGGTGGTGAAAATTGTTATGAGCGTATACAAAAAGGTATTATGGAACTCGAATCAATGTTATCGAATAATCGCACGGCTGAGATGAAAAGCCTTTTGAATATCTGTGATAACTTCGATGAGAATAATAAAATGGATGTTTGGACTTTGTTTTCACAAATATCGGATATATTTGCCGGAATTGTACAAAATCATAAGTAAGGACATCTCTCGTCCTCCTCGTATTTTCCATAAACCCATAAAAATCCCCACTTCTATTTCCAGCAATAATACCATTCAGAAAACATGCAATAAAATAATGGAAGGTGATGATAATTTAGGTGGTCTACTGAACTTCCTTAAACCCTATTTCAAGAGTAAAAATTGTACTGAAATTACCTACAAGGATATGGTGGATAGTTACAATTATACCTCCTTCGATAAGGGAATGTGTAAGTGGTGAAAAATATTCCGACCAAATTCAATTATTCATATTCTAATAAATGTGTTGCCATCCACAGATCGCCAATGGTTCTATCAAACCTGCAACGAGTATGGTTGGTATCAGACATCCGGTTCCAAAAATCAACCATTCGGCACCCTCTTCCCGGTAAAATTATATTCCCAGTTGTGTTACGATCAATTTGGCGAAAAGTTCACTGAAGAATATATTGAGAGTCAAATTAAGGCGACCAATGAATTCTTTGGAGCTTTGAATCCTCAGGTGGAAAATGTCTATATGACTCATGGCCAATTGGATCCATGGAGAGCTATGGGCGTGCAGGAGGAGGGCAAGGCAACAATTATACCATGTAAGTAGAAGAAGTCATTCAACTAGAGATTTAATTTATATAAACCAAACATTTGAATTTCGTTTTCAGTGCGTGCCCATTGCAAGGACTTTGGTTCGATAAGTGACAAGGATACACCGGAATTGAGAGCATCGAAGGAAAAACTGGCTGAACTTGTAAGGGAATGGCTTAAATGAATGGAATAATATTTGTATGTGGATATGGATAAAAAAATAAAAGAATCTGAAATATTTTCGAAGTTGTTTTGTTTGAAAATTGGAGAATAGATCTCAATGTCCTGATTTCCTGTAAATTAGAAAATTTGTTTTATTGTGAAAACGCTCTTCTATAACGAAGAAGAAGGCCTTTAGAATTTTCTATGAAAAAAGGCCCATAGAATCTTCTATGAAAACGAAGGCCTTCAGCTCTTTTAATTAAGAAAACGTTCGGTTTCTTCGATGAAAAAAGCAACCCTCAGCTCTTCTATTGATGAAGAATGCCTTCATATCTTCCATAGAAGAAAAATAAAACCTTCTGCTGTTCAATGAAAAAGAAGACCTTCAGCGTTTCTATGAAGAACACCTTCAGATCTTCTATTGAGCAGAAGTCCTCCGACTCTTCATGATTCTTGCTGTTTCTATGAAAAAAGAGAAGACCTGCAGCTCTTCTATAAAGAAGCCCACCAGCTCTTCTATGAAGAATGCTTTCAGACCTTCTATGAAGAAGACCTTCAGTTCTTCTATGAAGAAGAGCACCTTCAGCTCTTCTATGAAGAAGATGACCTTCAGCTCTTCTACGGCGAATAAGACCACAAGATCATCTATGAAGAGGATCTCTTCTATAAAGAAGATGACCTTCAGCTCTTCCATGAAGAAGAGGACATACAGTTCTTCTATGAAAAAGGGAACCTACAGCTCTTCTATGAAGAAGAGGACCTATAGCTCTTCTATGAAGAAGATGACCTACAGCTCTTCTATGAAGAAGAGGACCTACAGCTCTTCTATGAAGAAGAGGACTTTCAGCTCTTCTATGAAGAAGAAGAAGACCTTCAGCTCTTCTATGAAGAAGACCTTCAGCTCTTCTATGAAGAAGAAGAAGACCTTCAGCTCTTCTATGAAGAAGAAGAAGACCTTCAGCTCTTCTATGAAGAAGAAGACCTTCAGCTCTTCTATGAAGAAGAAGACCTTCAGCTCTTCTATGAAGAAGAAGACCTTCAGCTCTTCTATGAAGAAGAAGACCTTCAGCTCTTCTATGAAGAAGAAGACCTTCAGCTCTTCTATGAAGAAGAAGAAGACCTTCAGCTCTTCTATGAAGAAGAAGAAGACCTTCAGCTCTTCTATGAAGAAGAAGAAGACCTTCAGCTCTTCTATGAAGAAGAAGAAGACCTTCAGCTCTTCTATGAAGAAGAAGAAGACCTTCAGCTCTTCTATGAAGAAGAAGAAGACCTTCAGCTCTTCTATGAAGAAGAATACCTTCAGCTCTTCTATGAAGAAAAAGACCTTCAGCTCTTCTATGAAGAAGAAGACCTTCAGCTCTTCTATGAAGAAGAAGACCTTCAGCTCTTCTATGAAGAAGAAGACCTTCAGCTCTTCTATGAAGAAGAAGACCTTCAGCTCTTCTATGATGAAGAAGAAGAAGACCTTCAGCTCTTCTATGAAGAAGACCTTCAGCTCTTCTATGAAGAAGAAGACCTTCAGCTCTTCTATGAAGAAGAATACCTTCAGCTCTTCTATGAAGAAGAAGACCTTCAGCTCTTCTATGAAGAATAAGAATAAGACTATGAAGAAGACCTTCAGCTCTTCTATGAAGAAGAAGAAGACCTTCAGCTCTTCTATGAAGAAGAAGACCTTCAGCTCTTCTATGAAGAAGAAGACCTTTGGTTCTTCTATGAAGAAAAAGACCTTCTGCCCTTCTATGAAGAAGAAGACTCTCAGCTCTTCGATGAAGAAGAAGACCTTCAGCTCTTCTATGAAGAAGAAGACCTTCAGCTCTTCTATGACGAAGAGGACCTTAAGATCTTCTATGAAGAAGACCTTCAGATATTCTATGAATAAGGAGAAGACCTCCAGTTCTTCTATGAAGAAAACCTCCAGTTCTTCTATGAAGAAAACCTCCAGTTCTTCTATGAAGAAGACCTCCAGTACTTCTATAAAGAACACCTCCGGCTCATCTATAAAGAAGGCCTCCATTTCTTCTATGAAGAACACCTCCAGCTCTTCTATGACAGTTCACACATTTAGCCTTATCTAAACCAGCGCGAGTAGAAGGTGTGCGGAAGCTATCTCGTTGCATAAATTATCTACCCATAGGAAAGGAATATTTCGCCCATAATTACCGCTGATTGCAACAGTGTTCCCAAAAAGAATACGACACCAATCAAAACGAATTGTTTGGACGTTTAATCAATTGATTGCTAGCATTTAAAGCTATAGATTACCTATCAGCAGGGTATCAGCCTATCGGGTATTAACAGTGTGAAGATAAGATTTATGAAAAAAAAAATAACAACCTAAATTATATTGCCATTGACGGCAATCGCCAAACCGTAAAGCCGTTAGTCTTTTGGTGACTCTCTCCAAGAAAATATGGCCAAAATAACTTTAATTTTCCTAGCCGTGGTAGCTATAGCCACCTTGGTCTTAGCCGAAGAAAATAATCCGCAGGCTTTTATAAATATTTTCAACCAAAAACACAAGGATCCGGGACCAGAGGCAACTGCTCGTGCCAATGTTGTAACCAAATATATTGACCAAAAATTGGATCATTTCGATGATAAGGAAACCAGGACATGGAAAATGGTAAGTAGAGGGTGAGAGGAGATGATATATCGGGAGAAGAAAAGTCTTACGATTTTGATATCTTTTAGCGTTACATGGAAAATGATGAGTTCTATGAAGAAGGTGGCCCCCTGTTCATCTATGTTGGTGGTGAATGGGCCATTTCGGCTGGTTCCATTAGCAGTGGTCATGTTTACGATATGGCCCGTGAACATAAGGGTTATTTGTTCTATACCGAACATCGTTTCTATGGTCAAAGTAAACCAGTGGAGTAAGTAATTTTTGGGGGATGTGAAGGGATTCGTAAACGAAGTAATTTAAAATGTTTTTGTTTTTCAGGGCCATGACAAATGAAAACATGAAATATCTGCATGTCCGCCAAGCCTTGGCTGATCTGGCCCATTTCATCCGCACCATGAAGGAAACTATTCCTGGCATGCAAAATTCCAAGGCCATTTTAACTGGAGGTTCCTATTCCGCCACCATGGTAACATGGTTCCGTAAATTGTATCCTGAATTGGCTGCTGGTTGTTGGGCTTCTAGTGCTCCTCTCTTCGCAAAGGCCAATTTTTATGGTAAGTGAGATACATTTTAAAGATATTAGACAAAAAAAGATAAAGATAATTTATCGTATAATATTGAGGGAAAAAGAGTATATAAAATAGGTAGATCGATCAGGCCCAGTCGTGGATTTCTAAAGAATATTTTTCAAGGCCCATAGAAGCAGGGATTTCTTAAATAATTTTGTTTAAAATATATCCATTATCTACAAACTTAGAGAAATACTGGAAAAATTATCTACGTCATCTAAAGGATATAGATATATACTTTATATTAACACAGCGAAAAAAATTATTAATGTTATCCGAATAAAGTAGATAATTTATTTACCATATCTGAATTCTTTAGATAAAGTATTAACGTTATCCAAATAATGTAGATAAAGTATCTACGGTATACAAATAATGCAGATAAATTATTTATCGAAATAATGTAGACAAAGTATCTACCTTATCCAAATAAAGTAGATAATTTATCTGCGTTATCTACGTTATCCAAATAACGTAGATAAAGTATCTACGTTATCCAAATAACGTAGATAAATTATCTATGTTAACCAAATAACGTAGATAAAGTATCTACGTTATCCAAATAATGTAGATAAAGTATCTACGTTACCCAAATTATATAGATAAAGTATCTACGTTATCCAAATAATGTAGATAAAATATCTACGTTATCCAAATAGTGTAGATAAATTATCTACGTTATCCAAATATTGTAGATAAAGTATATTAAAAGATCCGCTTTATCTAAATGACAATGATAATTTATCTACGTTACATTAATGACATGAATAATGTATCTACATTATCTTAAAAGAATGGATACATTATTTATATTACTAAAATTACATAGATACGGTATTTACGTTATCTAAGTAATAAAGATAAATTATCTGAAGTATGCCACAGATACGTATCGAAGTTATCCGGATAACATATATGAAGTATCTGAGCTTTGTGATGCGGATAATGTATCTACATTATCTAAATATCATAGATTAAGTATCTGAGTTATGTACATCTTATGGATATTGTATCTAAAAGCCACAAATACGTATCTAAGCCACATATACGTATCTCAGTTATCTGTATAACATTAAAAAAGTATCTAAGTTATCCATATGATGGGGATAAAGTATGTAGGTTATCGGAATAACATTGACACAGTATCTGAGTTATCTAAATGTAACGGATAAAGTATCTACGATATACATATAACGTAGAATATTTATCTAAAATGTAAAAACCGCATGGATAAATTATCTACGTTATCCAAATTAGGCAAATCTATTATCTATATTATTCAAATCATTCGGAAAATGTATCTACGTTATCCAAAAAACGTAGATAAGTTATCAACGCTATTCACAAACCTGGAAAAGTTGCCTATGTTATCAAAAATGTTGATAAGTTATCTACGCTAACCAGAAACGTAGATAAATTATCTACATTATACAAATAAAGTCGATATAATATATACGTTATTTAAATCGATTAAACAATCATACAATATAATAAATAATTGAAGAATTACCTCCCAGATACTACCTTGATATCCCAAAATAACTAATGAGTCGATGTTTCCTTCCATTTACAGAATACAAAGAAGTTATGGGTGAATCAATTTTGCTGGTAAGTGGTCAAACCTGTTACGATCGCATTCAGCATGGTATCGCTGAATTGGAATCGATGATTGCCAATAAACGCGGAGCCGAAGTTAAGGCTATGCTGCGTTTGTGTAATAACTTTAATGAGGACAGCGATTTGGATGTGTGGACACTGTTCTATGAAATTTCTGAAATTTTTGCCAATTTGGTTCAGACGCATAACCATTAGTAAGTCTAAAAAAAGGATTAAGGATATTCCGAATAACAAAATATATTTTCCATTTTTTTAGTGGCAGCAGCATTCAAAATGCCTGCAATACAATTATGGCTGAGGAAACCGATCTACTTGGTGTGGCCAATTATATTGTCAAGAATTTCGGTAGCAATGGTTGTAATGATTTGACTTATAAAACCTATGTTGCCGTGCTAAAAGATTCAGCCTATAGTGGTAACATAAGTAAGTTCTGTTCAATTTAAAAATACAGAAATTTTAAAGCCAAATTTAATATATTTTCAAAAATTACCTCAGTGCGCCAATGGATCTATCAAACCTGTAATGAATATGGTTGGTATCAAACCTCTACCTCGGCCAATCAACCATTTGGCAGCAAATATCCTTTGGTCTATTTCACAACAATGTGTGCCGATGCCTATGGCCCAGAGTTCACGAATGAGTACATACAACAACAAATTGATGGTACCAATGAATTCTTTGGTGGTCTGACACCTGTAGAGAATGTTTATATGACCCATGGTCAGGTGGACCCATGGAGAGCTATGGGTATTCAAGATGAAAATTTAGCTACCACTATTCCATGTAAGGCCCAATAGAACCAAAATCAGGAAGAGAGTATTGTTATTAAAATATATTATTCTCTCTCTCTCTCTCTTGTTTTCAGATCATGCCCATTGCAAAGATTTGGGTTCGATTAGTGATAATGATACCCCCGAATTGCGTGCCTCCAAGGAGAAAATTGCTCAATTGGTTAGAGAATGGCTGTCCGACGAATAAACAAATAAATGATATCGATATCCGCTAATAAATAACAGTATTTATTAATTAATTGTAGTCAATAAATAAGCCCAATGATTACCTAGCTAGCTGGATGACTGCCTTATGACCGAATGAAATATGAGTTATTGTAATTTTGTTTGTTATGGGGTTTAATGTGGTGATAAGATTATGTGGACTTGCTTTGAACAGGGCCACGAACAAACATATTGAAATTGTTGTAATTGCAAGTAACTAATTCATAGCAACTTATCTAATGTTCGGAATCTTAGATATGTGCTATATAACAAGTATAAACGATGACTGGATTTAAAAAAATCAAGGTCCGGCAAAACGTAGATTTTTTAATAAAATATTTTTTCAAGGTCCAGCAAGGCGTGGATTTTATGAAGAATATTTTTTCAAGGCTATCCACCAAGGCGTAGATTTTTTAAAGAATATTTTTTCAAGGCTACACAAAGGCGTGGATTTTTTAAACGAATATTTTTTCAAGGCTACACAAAGGCGTGGATTTTTTAAACGAATATTTTTTCAAGGCTACACAAAGGCGTGGATTTTTTAAACGAATATTTTTTCAAGGCTACACAAAGGCGTGGATTTTTTAAACGAATATTTTTTTCAAAGGCGTGGATTTTTTAAACGAATATTTTTTCAAGGCTACACAAAGGCGTGGATTTTTTAAAGAATATTTTTTCAAGGCTATCCACTAAGGCGTGGATTTTTTAAAGAATATTTTTTCAAGGCTATCCACTAAGGCGTGGATTTTTTAAAGAATATTTTTTCAAGGCTATCCACTAAGGCGTGGATTTTTTAAAGAATATTTTTTCAAGGCTATCCACCAAGGCGTGGATTTTTTAAAGAATATTTTTTCAAGGCTATCCACCAAGGCGTGGATTTTTTAAAGAATATTTTTTCAAGGCTATCCACCAAGGCGTGGATTTTTTAAAGAATATTTTTTCAAGGCTAGCCACCAAGGCGTGGATTTTTTAAAGAATATTTTTTCAAGGCGTGGATTTTTTAAAGAATATTTTTTCAAGGCGTGGATTTTTTAAAGAATATTTTTTCAAGGCTACACAAAGCCGTGGATTTTTTAAAAAATATTTTTTCAAGGCTACACTAAGGCATGGATTTTTTTAAAGAATATTTTTTCAAGGCTACACAAAGGCGTGGATTTTTTAAAGAATATTTTTTCAAGGCTACACAAAGGCGTGGATTTTTTAAAGAATATTTTTTCAAGGCTACATAAGAGGCGTGGATTTTTTAAAGAATATTTTTTCAAGGCTACATAAGAGGCGTGGATTTTTTAAAGAATATTTTTTCAAGGCTACACAAAGGCGTGGATTTTTTAAAGAATATTTTTTCAAGGCTACACAAAGGCGTGGATTTTTTAAAGAATATTTTTTCAAGGCTACACAAAGGCGTGGATTTTTTAAAGAATATTTTTTCAAGGCTACACAAAGGCGTGGATTTTTTAAAGAATATTTTTTCAAGGCTACAAAAAGGCATGGATTTTTTAAAGAATATTTTTTCAAGGCTACAAAAAGGCATGGATTTTTTAAAGAATATTTTTTCAAGGCTATCCACCAAGGCGTAGATTTTTTAAACGAATATTTTTTCAAGGCTACACAAAGGCGTGGATTTTTTAAACGAATATTTTTTCAAGGCTACACAAAGGCGTGGATTTTTTAAAGAATATTTTTTCAAGGCTACACAAAGGCGTGGATTTTTTAAAGAATATTTTTTCAAGGCTACACAAAGGCGTGGATTTTTTAAAGAATATTTTTTCAAGGCTACACAAAGGCGTGGATTTTTTAAAGAATATTTTTTCAAGGCTATCCACTAAGGCGTGGATTTTTTAAACGAATATTTTTTCAAGGCTACACAAAGGCGTGGATTTTTTAAACGAATATTTTTTCAAGGCTACACAAAGGCGTGGATTTTTTAAGGAATATTTTTTCAAGGCTACACAAAGGCGTGGATTTTTTAAAGAATATTTTTTCAAGGCTATCCACCAAGGCGTGGATTTTTTAAAGAATATTTTTTCAAGGCTACACAAAGGCTTGGATTTTTAAAAGAATATTTTTTCAAGGCTATCCACCAAGGCGTGGATTTTTTAAAGAATATTTTTTCAAGGCTATCCACCAAGGCGTGGATTTTTTAAAGAATATTTTTTCAAGGCTATCCACCAAGGCGTGGATTTTTTAAAGAATATTTTTTCAAGGCTATCCACCAAGGCGTGGATTTTTTAAAGAATATTTTTTCAAGGCTATCCACCAAGGCGTGGATTTTTTAAAGAATATTTTTTCAAGGCTATCCACCAAGGCGTGGATTTTTTAAAGAATATTTTTTCAAGGCTACACAAAGGCGTGGATTTTTTAAGGAATATTTTTTCAAGGCTACACAAAGGCGTGGATTTTTTAAAGAATATTTTTTCAAGGCTACACAAAGGCGTGGCTATCCACTAAGGCGTGGATTTTTTAAAGAATATTTTTTCAAGGCTATCCACTAAGGCGTGGATTTTTTAAATAATATTTTTTCAAGGCTATCCACTGAGGCGTGGATTTTTTAAAGAATATTTTTTCAAGGCTATCCACTAAGGCGTGGATTTTTTAAAGAATATTTTTTCAAGGCTATCCACTAAGGCGTGGATTTTTTAAAGAATATTTTTTCAAGGCTATCCACTAAGGCGTGGATTTTTTAAAGAATATTTTTTCAAGGCTATCCACTAAGGCGTGGATTTTTTAAAGGATATTTTTTCAAGGCTATCCACTAAGGCGGGTATTTTTTAAAGAATATTTTTTCAAGGCTATCCACTAAGGCGGGGATTTTTTAAAGAATATTTTTTCAAGGCTATCCGCTAAGGCGGGGATTTTTTAAAAGAATATTTTTTCAAGGCTATCCACTAAGGCGTGGATTTTTTAAAGAATATTTTTTCAAGGCTTTGGAAGACCAGAGGGTCTTTTAGAAGACCAGAGGGTCTTTTAGAAGACCAGAGGGTCTTTTAGAAAACCAGAGGGTCTTTTAGAAGACCAAAGGGTCTTTTAGAAGACCAAAGGGTCTTTTAGAAGACCAAAGGGTCTTTTAGAAGACCAAAGGGTCTTTTAGAAGACCAAAGGGTCTTTTAGAAGACCAAAGGGTCTTTTAGAAGACCAACGGGTCTTTTAGAAGACCAAAGAGTCTTTTAGAAGACCAGAGGGTCTTTTAGAAAGACCAGAGGGTCTTTTAGAAGATCTAAGGGCCTTTGAGAAGACCATAGGGTCTTTTAGAAGACCAAAGCATATTTTAGAAGACCAGGGGGTCTTTTAGAAGATCTAAGGGCCTTTGAGAAGACCATAGGGTCTTTTAGAAGACCAAAGGGTCTTTTAGAAGACCAAAGGGTCTTTTAGAAGACCAAAGGGTCTTTTAGAAGACCAAAGGGTATTTTAGAAAACCAAAGGGTCTTTTAGAAGACCAAAGGATATTTAAGCAGTCCAAGGGGTCTTTTAGAAGTCCAAAGGGTATATTAGAAGGCCAAATTGCCTTATGGAAGACCAAGGGCTCTTATAAGACACCATATGGTCTTATGGAAGCCCCAAAGGGTGCAATAGAAGACCGAATGGTCTTCCAAAAGACCAAGGGGACTTATAGAAGACCAAAGGGTCTTATAAAATACCAAAGGGTCCTATAGGAGACTGAAGGCTCTTCTAGAAGTTCAAATGCTGCATTAGAAGACCAAGGGATTTTTTTCGTTGGTCTTCTATAATACCAACGGATGTTATAAAAGACCAGAGGGTCTTGTAGAAGAAAATCTAGTCTAAGAGAATACCAAGACCTATTGTGGATACCAAGGTGTCTTATGGAAAGCAAAGGGTCTTATAGAATACCAAAGAGTTTTATAAAGGGTCTTATAAAATACCAAAGAGTTTTATAAAGGGTCTTATAGAATACCAAAGGTTCTTGTAGAAGATTACAGGATTCTATGGAAGACCAAAGACCAAAGCATTTTAAAGAATACCAGTGGGTCTTATAGAAAACTGAAGGGGCTCTTAGGAGGTCGATGTTTTTATAGATGGTGTAGATTCTTGAAGATGACCCGACGTCATTTTAGAACATTCGATTGTATATAGAAGACGAAATGTTCTTATAAATGACCAAATGGCCTTCTAGACCATCTGACCCGAAAAACAATTTTCTAAAAATAGATTTATTTTTATTTAAAAAAAGAAAAACACAGTAAATCTAAATTTATTCCAAAAGTCCAAGCCATGACCGTTGGTTATCAACGCTAATAAATTTTATTCTAATCACTCAAATCAAACCCTGAAAAAAAATCGCATTCTAGAATTCCAATATCAATCTTTAGAGATGTCAAGATTGCAAAAAACCGAAAGTTTTTGCACAGATATTAACCCAAAGCCATCATTCGAACCTATTATTCGCAATCATGAAATTGAAGCTAACGGTAGTGGGTCTATTAGCTGTGACCGTGGCTTTTGCCACAGCCCTTGAGGACGTGAAGGATGTTCCAGCATTTGTGCGTAGTTTCGAAAATTTATATCGAGCTCCTCCGCTACAATCGCACATGGTAAGCAGAGCTGTAAAAACGGATTGGATTACCCAAAAATTGGATCATTTCGATGAGAAGGATACTCGTACCTGGCAAATGGTAAATAAAAAGTGTAGATCTATTTTGGACATGAGAATTTTTGAAAATTTCTTTGACTGCTTAATTTTAGCGCTATATGACCAACGCTGATTATTTCAAACCGGGTGGTCCCATGATCATCTACATTGGTGGTGAATGGGAAATTTCAGCTGGTAGCATTTCATATGGTATCCTAGCCGATATAGCCAAAGAACACAATGGTATGCTGTTCTACACCGAACATCGTTACTATGGCCAAAGCAAGCCGACCAAGTAAGTATGCGGATTCAAAGATGATATAACTTTTTTGGTAAAAAGATAAGTTATCTGCTTAGATAATTTAGATGTGAAGCAAATATAACACGGATAAGTTATCTATGTTATTTTAGCAAAAAAGATTATATAGCTACGTTATATGAATATTGTGTATAGAATATATCTGCATTATCAAGATAATGTGCATAGATTATCGTCATCTTCTATATAACGTGAATAAGTTATCTTCATAACGGGGATAAGTTATCTACTTAACGTGGATAAGTTATCTACCTAACGTGGATAAGTTATCTACATAACGTGGATAAGTTGTTATACCCAATCTACGTTATCCAAATAACCTGGATAAGTTATCTATCGTGGATAAGTTATCTACCTAACGTGGATAAGTTATCTACGTAACGTGGATAAGTTGTTATACCTTATCTACGTTATCCAAATAACCTGGATAAGTTATCTACCATACCTACATAACATAGATATGTTATCTTTTCCACATTATCCAAATATCGTTGATATGTTATCTATGATATCCAAAATAACATCGATACGTTATCTACGTTATATGGATAACATAGATACAATATCCACGTTATATAGATTATGCCGATATATTGTCCCCGTTATATAGATAATGTAGATAGCATAAAAAATGTATACACCGAATACTTCAAAAATTTATAAATATAATTCCAACAATATTGATAACGTTATCTATGTTATCTACATTATCTAAAAAACATGCTAAAGTTATAAAATATCTAAAAAAGGGGGACAAATGATGCAGATAGTGGCAAACTGGACAATTTACCTTTATCTACATCATATAATCAAGTAAGATAATTTTTTTTTATTTGTAGGACATACGTAGATAACTTATCTGCGAAATAAAATTATCTGCCTTATAAAATTATCTGCCAAAAAATGAATACCCTATACTAATTTATAAATGACCGCGCAACTATTTTCCTCCTCCCCACACTCCTTCCAATTCCAGAAACCTTTTGGTAGAAAATTTGGAATATTTGCATGTGAAACAAGCCTTAGCCGATTTGGCCCATTTCATTCGTTATAAACATGAAACTGTTCCCGAGCTGGCCAACTCCAAAGTGATCATAGCTGGTGCCTCCTATTCAGCCACAATGGTTGTGTGGTTTAAAAAACTTTATCCTGAATTGGTTGCTGGTGGTTGGGCATCATCGGCACCCATCTTGGCTAAGGTCGATTTTGTCGAATACAAAGAAGTTGTAGGTCAAGCTTTGAGAGAATTAGGCTCCGAAAAATGCTACAATCGTGTCCAGAACGGTATTGCAGAATTGGAAGAGATGATTGACAATAAACGTGCCGCCGAAGTTAAGGCCATGCTGAAGCTATGTAATAATTTCAATCACAATAATGATTTGGATGTGTGGTCATTGTTCGGTTCCATTTCGAATATATTCGCCGGTTATGTGCAATATCAATCGTAAGTGAAAGTATCAATATCAGCCATGAATGGTAATTGGGATGATAATCGGAATATTTATTCTTGTTCATTTTTGCAGTGAAGGAGATATCCCCTACATATGTGACTACATTATGTCCTTTAAAGATGATTTGACTGCCATTACCAACTTCTTCCTGTTTGGTATGGGTTTCCCCAGCGGCTGTGTTGATGTCAGCTACAAGAGTACCGTTAACTATTATAAGGACAGCACTTATGTCTATGGAGCATGTAAGAAGAAAAAAATCTCCAAACCCCTAAGGTATCAAAAAATAATTATTTACCATTTTTTCTTCAGCCCGCCCATGGTATTTCCAAACCTGCAATGAATATGGCTGGTATCAAACTTCGGGTTCGCGTAATCAACCCTTTGGCACCAAATTCCCCGTCACCTTTTATACCACTTTGTGTACCGATGTCTTCGGCAGGAAATATTCGAATGAACAAATCAATAAATTGGCCGATCAGACCAATGCAGATTTTGGCGGTATGAATCCCGAAGTTGAAAATGTCTATATGACTCACGGGGCCTTAGATCCATGGAGTCCTATGGGCCATGGTTTGGAACAAGGAGCTTCTGTAATTCCCAGAGCATCACACTGTGCTGATTTCGGTTCGATTAGCAGTGCTGATAGTCCTGAAATGCGTGCCTCTAAGGAAAAGCTGTTGGAATTGGTTCGTGAATGGTTGAAATAAGCTACCGGGGAGAACTTCGGAAATTAAATAAAATAAAATGCAATATTTATAATTAATGTGGACCATTATTATTCGCTACTTTTCGACATCTCCGAAAAACAGAATCTGCTATTTTATCAGGAGTAGAATTTCAGTTTTTCTACAAAGAAGACACTCTGGTTTCTTGAAAGACTTGAAAGACTTTTCTTGGAAGCCTAATAGTATTATATGGAAATCTTTTGAGTTACTATGAATAATTCCTTCTGGCCTGTGAAGAGGATCGAATATATGTGGCCTTCTATGAAGAAGACTTTCTGGCCTTCTATGAAGATGAAGATCTTCATTGTATGGAGACCTTCTGCCTTCTATGAAGAAGACTTTCTGGCCTCCTATGAATAATAACTTATGGCCTTCTATGAAGAAAACTTTCTGGCCTTATATGAGGAAGAACTTCTGGCTTTCTATGACGAAGATCTGCTTTCAATGACGAAGATCTTCAGGTCTTCTATGTAGAAGACCTTCTGGCCTTCTATGAAGAATACCTTCTGACCTTCAATGAAAAAGACTTTCTGGCCTTCTATGAAGAAGACTTTCTGGCCTTATATGAGGAAGAACTTCTGGCTTTCAATGAGGAGCACCTTCTGGCTTTCTATGAAAAATATCTTCTGGCCTTCTTTGAAGATGGCCTTCTGGTCTTCAATTAAGAAGGCCTTCTATGAAGAGGACCTTCTGCCCTTCTATGAAGAAGACTTTCTGGTTTCTATGAAGAAGTCATTCTGACCTTCTATGAAGAATAACTTCTTGCCATGAAAAAGACTTTCTGACCGTATATGAGGAAGAATTTCAACGTACCGAACTCTACACCATGTCCGCTCGCTGGCTATCAACGATAATAAATTTTGTGCTAATCAGTCGAATCATAATAACATGAAAAACCCAATACAAAATATAATTTTTGATAAGCAATTTCCCGCCCGGCGCAAAGCCAATTGGTCATTCAATAAATTTCAAAAATCTAACGTAAAAAAATCTTATCGATTTCAAGATTATCAGAAGAACACAATTTTTCGCACAGCTACCCTCGCTTTGGGCCACTTCGATCCAATCATTCGCAATCATGAAATTGACGCTGACGGTAGTGGGTCTATTGGCTGTGACTGTGGCTTTTGCCACAGCCAAGGATGTTCCAGCATTTGTCCGTAGTTTTGAAAATTTACATCGAGGACCTCCCGAAGACTCTCACATTGAAAGCAGAGCTGTAGAAACGGAATGGATTACGCAAAAATTGGATCATTTCGATGAGACGAATGATGGCACCTGGGAAATGGTAAATCAAAATTGCGGATTTTTGAGAAGATAATTTTGAAAACGTTTTATCTCTGATTGATTTCAGCGCTACATGTCTAACGCTGAATATTTCAAAGCTGGTGGTCCCATGATCATCTACCTTGGTGGTGAATGGGCAATTTCACCAGGTAGCATTTCATCGGGTATGTTGGCCGATATAGCCAAGGAACACAATGGTATGTTGTTCTATACCGAACATCGTTACTATGGCCAGAGCAAACCAACCAAGTAAATATTGGAAATTTTCGGGATGAGATAATAGATAACTTTTCAGATAATGTGTGTGTGTTCTCTTCTTCCTCTCCTTTATAGAGACCTTTTGGTAGAAAATTTGCAGTATTTGCACGTGAAACAAGCCTTAGCCGATTTGGCCCACTTCATTCGTTATAAACATGAAACTGTTCCCGAGTTAGCCAATTCGAAAGTTATCATAGCTGGTGGTTCATATTCCGCCACAATGGTTGTGTGGTTTAAGAAACTCTATCCTGAATTGGTTGCTGGTGGCTGGGCATCATCCGCACCCATCTTGGCTAAAGTCGATTTTGTCGAATACAAAGAAGTTGTGGGACAAGCTTTGAAAGAACTGGGTTCCGAACAATGTTATAACCGTGTTCAGAACGGTATTGCTCAATTGGAAGAGATGATTGCCAATAAACGTTCCGCCGAAGTTAAGGCCATGCTGAAACTGTGTGATAATTTCGATCATAATAATGATTTGGATTTGTGGTCATTATTTGGATCCATTTCGAATATATTCTCTGGATTTGTGCAATATCAATCGTAAGTTTAATTAAACAAACATGAATTCCGAATGGGAAGATAATCGGAATATTTGATTTGTTTGGGTTTTGCAGTGAAGGAGATGTCCCCTACAGATGTGACTACATTATGTCCTTTGAAGATGATTTAACTGCCATTGCCAACTTCTTCCTAGTTTCTGTGGGTATCTCCGAGGGCTGTGTTGATGTTAGCTACAAGGATACCGTTGCCTATTATAAGGACAGCACTTATACCAAGGGAGCTTGTAAGTAAAAAAATGTTACTTCTACTCGAAAATGTATTTAAAAATTCCTCAACATTTTTTAGCCCGTCCATGGTATTTCCAAACTTGCAATGAATATGGCTGGTATCAAACTTCTGGGTCACGCAATCAACCCTTTGGCACTAAATTCCCCGTCACCCTGTACACCACTTTGTGTGCCGATATCTTTGGCGACAAATATACGAATGAACAAATCCACAAATTGGCCGATCAGACCAATGAAGATTTTGGCGGTATGAATCCCGAAGTTGAAAATGTCTATATGACACATGGTGCCTTGGATCCATGGAGTGCTATGGGCCATGGTTTGGAACAAGGTGCTTCTGTCATTCCCAGAGCATCACATTGTGCTGATTTTGGTTCGATCAGCAGTGCTGATAGTCCTGAAATGCGTGCCTCCAAGGAAAGACTATTGGAATTGGTTCGTGAATGGTTGAAATAAGAAGGGGATTTTTATAGTCTTTTTTTAAATAAAATACTTTTTTTATAAATTATGTGGATTTTATTATTTGTGAAGAAGACTTTCTGGCCTTCTATGAAGAAGACCTTCTGGCTTCCTATGAAGAAGAGCTTCTGGCATTCTATGAAGAAGATGTTCTGGCTTTCTATGAAGAAGACCTTCTGGCCCTCTGTGAAGAAGTAATTCTGACCTTCTATGAAGAAGACCTGCTTGCCTTCTATGAAGATGACCTTCTGGCCTTCTATGAAGAAGATGTTCTGGCCTTCTATGAAAAAGTCCTTCAGGCCTTCTATGAAGAAGACCTTTTGGCCTTCTACGAAGAAGACCTTTTGGCCTTCTACGAAGAAGACCTTTTGGCCTTCTATGAAGGTGACCTTCTGGCTTTCTATGAAGAAGACCTTCTGGCCTTCTATGAAGAAGACCTTGCGGCCTTCTATGAAGAAGATTTTCAGCCTTCTATGAAGAAGACTTTCTGGCCTTCTATAAAGAAATCTACAACTCTTCTATGAAAGAATATGAGCTCCAGTTCTTCTATGGAAAAAGAAAACCCTCAGCTTTTCAGTGAAAAAAGAAAAGCTTCGGATCATCTCTGATATGAGCTCAGGTTCTTCTATGAAGTCTTCTATAAAGAGGATCATTGGCTCCATGATTCATTTTGTTTTTGTATTATCGATTACAAACTTCGAATTATTTCTCTGGAATTCATTTGAGGGGCGCTAAATGATCCAAATACATAATAATTGCCAACATATAAGCCATGTTTAAGTAAATTTTTATTAAGCCCATTAACATGGTGATCTGAATACTAATTCCGCTCACAATAATTCGATCATCCCTCAACAACAAAAAAAACTTGTAATTATTATTCATGTCAATATCCATTGATATTTTTAATAAAACATTTGCGAACAACCTGCAAATGGTTGTTCGGGGCGATATTTGTGGAACTCTTTAAGAAGATTTATGACAATTTATTAGTCGCCATGGAAGTTTCATAGCTTCCAAATCTGTTTCTTTGTTATATTCCTAAAAAAAATAATTTGACTAAATACCAGAAGCTAATTAAATATGCCAGACATGTTATCAGATCACTGAGGCTTCTTGAAACGAAAATAAAAAAACATTATCGACAAATTTGGAGGAGGGTTGAAAGAAGGAAATTTGTTTTGGGATTTTTTTCTTTAAAGATGATTTCACTTCACAAAAATTGCTACCGTAAAAGATGTATTTTTGTCTTCGGCAAATTCGTCTTCTTCAGCTAGATAGACAAATGTCAAGGATGTCCAGAAGTTGCAGTGTGTTTATCTTGATCTCACCGGCACGGCAGCCCATACATCAAATGACATTGAAATAAAAATTTGTTTAAATCTTGTCAAAACATGATTTAAAACTTTGCAAATTGTGTTCACACCACACACACTCACAGACAATTGCCAAATTGTGACGATCGATGTTCAATCGGTATAACAGGGATGGGAACAGTCATAAGAACAGAAGACCTTCTGGCCTTCAACGGAAGACAAATACCTTCAGCTCTTCTATGAAGGAAAAAATAACTTCTTACCTTCTATAAAGAAGACCTTCTGGCCTTCTATGAAGAAGACCTTCTGCCTTTCTACAAAGAGGACCTTCTGCCCTTCTATGGAGATAACCTTCTTGCCTTCTACGGAAGACGAACACCTTCAGCCCTTCTATGAAGGAAAAAAATACCTTCTGGCCTTCTATTACGCTGACCCTCTGACTAGAGAACAGCTTCTGCCCTTCTATGGAGAAGACCTTCAGCTCCTCTATCAACAATACATCAAGATCTTCTATTGAAGAAGACTTTGAGTTCTTCTATGAAGAATAGAAACTCCAACTCGTCTCTGAAGAAGACCTTCTGATCTTCTATGATGCAGACGACCTCCAGCTCATGATGCAGACGACCTCTAGCTCTTCTATGAAGAAGATCTTCCCAGAAGAGCTGAAGAAGAAGACCTTCTGCTCTTCTATGGAAGACGAAGACCTTGAGATCTTCTATGAAGGAAAAAACAGCTTCTGGCCTTCTCTGAAGAAGATCTACCGCCCATCTATGAAGGCGATCTTCAGCTCTTCTATGGATGTCGAAGACCTTCTGTAGAGAAGACTTTCTAGCCTTCATAAAAAAGATCTTCTGACCCTCTGTAAAGAAGACCTTATGGCCTTTATAAAGAAGAAAAGAAGACAACTCTTCTATCAATAAGACATCAAAAAAAGACTTCTAGCTTTTCTATTGAAGACGATTTTGAACTCTTCTATGACGAAAAGGGCTTCAAATTCTTCTATGAAGAAGACCTTCAGCTCTGCTATGATGAAGACGAACTCTGGCTCTTTTATCAAAAAGACCTTCTCATCTTCTATGAAGAAGGCCTTCATCTCAAGAGCTGAAGAAGACCATATCCTTTTCTATGAAGGAAAGGAAATGTTCTATGAAGAAGTCTTTCTGTTTGCCTATGAATCAGACCTTCTGACCTTCTATAAAGAAGAGGTTCTGACCTTTTATGGAGAGACCTTCTGTCCTTCTATAAAAACGACCTTCTGGCTTTCTATCAAGAAGAACTTCTGGTCTGCTATAAAAAATACCTTCAGCTCTCCTTTGCAGAACACTTGCTTTCCATGAAGAAAACCTTCTGGTCTTCTATGAAGGAAACCATTTGGCCTTCATTGTAGATAAACTTCTAGCCTTTTATGAAGAAGACCTGTTGGCCTTCTATGAAAGAGACCTGCAGTTGTTCTATGGAAAAGACCTTCTGGCCTATACGAAGAAGATCTTCTGGTCTTTTATGAAGAGGACCTCCTATGTAGAAAACCTCCAGCTCTTCTATGAGGAAGAAGACCTTCAGCTCTTCTATGAGAGGGAAGACCTTTAGCTCTTCTATGAAGAAGAATGCCTTCAGCTCTTCTATGAAGAAAACATCCAGCTCTCCTATGAGGAAGAAGACCTTCATCTCTTCTATGAGAAAGAAGACCTTCAGTTCTTCGATGAAGAAGACCTTCAGCTTTTCGATGAAGAAGGACTTTAGCTCTTCGATGAAGGAGACCTTCAGCTCTTCGATGAAGAAGTCCTGGAGGTCTTCTTCATAAGGCCTCATGATTTTCTAAAAAAATACATCCTGGCCTCCCATCCCTGTCATCCTCAACATACCTATCCACATGAGAGTGCCAATGATCCCACCATGGTGTAGATATCCCTTGAAGTAGCATGAAAGAAAAAAATTCCAAAGAATTATCAACTCAACGACAAGAAGAAGAAAAAGAAGAGCTGTGGAAGCAAATTTAACACCACACAACACGTTCGTTGAAAAGAAATTTTGCCCGAGCCAAAAAAAGATCAGCTATTGATAATAAGTTGCAAAGGGTGTATACAATATGGAATGATAAAAAAATTTTAAAACAAAAAACTCGCAGTTCGAAAAGCTTCATCGACATTGTAAAATGTAATTAAAACAATAATCCATCACACCATCAACCACACCCTATTGAATTAGCAATGTGTGCATATCAATGTACTCACACGTTTCGAGATTTTTTTTTTTTTTTGCCTTTAAATCTTTTTTATCTTCTTCTTTACTTTTCTGTTAAGTTGTTTTCCTATGAGTAAGACAAAAAGTTAACACCACCCAATAGCAAAAAAACGAAACATTGATTTAAAACCGAAACTCCAGAGATTGATAAAAATCGATAGAAAACAAAGAGCATGCTGCCATAAATAACAGAAGGTTTTTTCGCTTGTAATTTTTTGTAAATCGATAAGTCCCCACTATTACAGCAGAATATGACTTGAGTTCAATTTTTTTATAGAAAATGATAAACAAGTCACAGGCAATAAATTTGTAGTTGGCCATAATCCATTTCTGATTAGGCTGAAAAGTAGTAAATACATGGGAAGATAAGATTCGATAGGAATTGTTAATTCTAATTGAATAAAAATAAAATCCTAAAAGTAGGCAGCAATAGCTTTAAAATCAGACACCAGTTCTGAGGATATTTTTCTTCTATAGAAAAATTTTAAAACTTCAGTTGAGATCTATATAAAAAAATCAGACCTCAGTTCCCAACTGAGGGCATTTTTTTCGTATGGAAACAATTTGCAGACCTCAGTTTCCAACTGAGGCAATTTTTTTTCGTATAGAAACAATTTGCAGATCTCAGTTTCCAACTGAGGGCAATTTTTTTTCGTATAGAAACAATTTGCAGACCTCAGTTTCCAATTGAGGTCAATTGTTTTTGTATAGAAAAAAATTCGCAGATGTCAGTTTCCATCTGAGAGACCTCAGTTCTCAACTGAGGTCAAATTTTTTTTCGTATAGGAAAAAATTGCAGATCTCAGTTCTCACAAGAGGTTCACCTTTTTTCTTGAAAATCATAAAACCTCCTCCTAAAAGTAGGCAATAATATTTTCCCTTAGATAAAATCTAAATTCAAAATTTATTCACAAATCACATTATCACAAATACTGTCAATATCCGGTATTCGGGTTAATTGATTTAGAAAATATCTATAATTGTGCCGTGTTTTCGGACCTAAGGATACATATTTTCGAGGTCTTAATCCAGCAATTGTAGATACAATAGAATAACCACGATTTTCCATGGCTTGCAGAGTCCAATCCTTAACATTCGGATCACATTTGATGCAAACTTTTCCCAGTGACCAATCGATAATGTCGATATGGTTCACTTTGAAAAGTAAGGCATCGGTTTTCAGGAGCTTTCGAAGTTTCCGTGAGTCACGATATTTTTCTGCTGCCGGTAGATAGGCTTCAATGCAACAACAATGGGTGAAATGTTGTAGAACAGGTACAAATTGCCCCTCACATTGTTGCATTAGAGGATCTAGGCGGGAAAGTAGCAAAGGGAAGTCATGCGTCCTTGCGGTACACATTAAATAGACCAGTGGGCCAATTTGCATTTGAAGGAAGTGTAATGTGGGTTCTCCCTCCTTTGGTTCAGTCGTTTCATTTA